TCACCAGGAGCAGGATAAACAGAGGCAGCTGGAGCTCCTGTTGGTCAGTTAATCCCACAAGTAAGAATTCAGTCACAGAAGAGTCATCTTCCACAGCCTTTTACTGCATGGATGGCATCTGTAAGAACAGCAGTAAAAGTTGCACTAACATGAAACTATTTTTCATTGAAACAGAATTTTAACAGTTAAGGATTGACTGAATACAAACAGCAAGACATTTAAAGAAGCTGATATCCAATGTTTATTCCTCAGGAATCCCCATTCCCTCCTTCTTCATCTATGATGTGTGTGGGGACCTAAAGGCCCCACCTTGCATAAGTCCCAGAGGAAGTTACTGGGGGCTCAGCCTGGCTTGCTTTGAAAGTCTGAAGAATACTTCCGCACTGCTGAGGAGTACATGATCAGTGAGTGCGTGACCATCCTTCAGATACACCCTCAGGGATGGAGGGGGGAGTTCCAGGTGCCTTTACAAGCTCTGTAACACCTGCAATAAATGAGTCCCTGCTTGACTAGGCTCCCTGTTGCGTCTGAGTGTCACAGGGTAATGGGGGTCCAACCCCCAGCAGATGTGTTCTGAAAGAATGCCAATACAAGTCACAAAATCTCTGAACACCATTTCCTCCCTTCTTTTTAGTCTTCACTAAGGATCTGGGCTGAAAAGAGCCCATAAATAAATGTTGTTTTCCTGGTGATTTACATAGTTTTGTGTTTCAAGGGAAAATATTGTAGGTAATTCAGTGCTCACCTTTCTTACCCTGAATCCTCAGTGCTCTTAGAAAGCACCAGCCCTTTCTCCCACTTTTACTAAGGGATCCAGGTTTCTGATGAAGGAGGTTGTAAATATCAGGGCTGATCTGTTTCTGACTTTCTACAACAGGTACGCTGGTGAATATGACATGATTTGTACTTGAGAATTTCAACAGAAGATTCTGTTCATTTTCACAAAAGAGACTAGCAATCTCATATCTAAAATATTACCTTACTCAAATTATATTCAACTTCACGGCTTTCCATTCTGAGAAAATTTATTGGAGGAACAGAAAGTTATTTTCTCTTTTATAATTCCCTCCCAGGTTGAATGAATCCCTTGAGGGAGTAATTAAAGAACATGTGTTCCCATGTGTTGTAGACAGAATGTTGGATTGTTCAGACTCAAAGCTACATTCCGTTCTTAAATTTCCATTAGGAGTATTGGTTCCCAAGGTAGAAATGGCATAGATCTCGTTGGAATTCTCATTAAGCACAGACAACACTACAGGAGAAAATTCACACTAACGTACTAACTTTCATTTCTAGTAATTTCATATAAATTCCCTGCTGCATCAGTAACTATTATGTCATAAGTTAACATTCTACAGACGAGGCTTGGTAACAATGAGGTTGAACAGCAGGGATAGGCACTCAAGGCAGTCTAAATATGAATTCAGAGTCTTCAGCTTACTAACTACGAAACTGATGAGAAGAGACAGAACATCTCTGACCCTTGTTTTATTAATACTTTCATCTGAATATGCTTCTGTATATTTAAAAAATCAGGGTAATAAAAGAGGGCTTTGATTGTAGCTCAGTTGTAGATCCCTACCTTGTATTCAGAAGGCTGTAGATTAAATCCTAGAGCAGTAGTAGTAATAATAATTATAATTATAATAATTATAATAATAATAAATGAAACAAAAGATACTTAATTGTGTTTTCTTTTTAATTATATGAGATTATTTATAAAATGTGTTAGAATTGCATGTGAGATAGGCTGATGGGTACAATTTCCCATTGTGTTGTATTTCCTTGTTCAAATACATGAGGACATATGTTCCTGTCTTTTTGTTACAGAATAAACAATCTCCCTAGTTCTTTTCACTACTTAACACACACACACACATGAACACACACACACACACACCAGGCGTAACAGAATTTCTCTAGCTATTGTCATATGTTCTATGGGTTCTTTTCAGGTTCAGAAAAATGATACCCTAGGGCAACAAGATGGTTCATTGGGGAAAGTATTTGCTTCCAAAGATGAGCACCTGTTTCCCTAAATTTTCTCCTGAGAGACCTGCACATATGCTCTCTGGGATCCCAGAGAGTACAATTCTAACTAAACCATCGCAATGTTATTCTCAAATTACAGTTGGGGAATAAGAATATTTATTTGGGCTTGCCAACAAAGTTTAGAGGGTCATTTACAAAGATATGTCCTCGCATTGGCTTTTCCTTTCCAACATTAGAGGCACGACATCCCACCCACTGTCCGCGAGCTCCATTTCAAAATGGGGACTACCCCATTCACGGCTGTGCTGGACAGCCACACCCAAACATAAATCCCGTAGCTTTCCAATGCCTCATAAAATGGCGAGAGACCTGTCTCCCAGTTTTCCTGGCTTATATGTCCTTAGCCTCATCATTCAGACTCCTTCTGTAGAGCATAGGAAGGAGGTGGGACTGTAGCTTGTCATCATAGTGGTTGAAGGAACTTCCAGGTTACAGCACCTGATTTGGATCCTCTGCACCCTTATTAAAGTCAGGTGTGGAAGTACATATCTGTGTCCCCAGCGCTGGAGAAGTGAAGACAGGTGAATCCTAGGAACTTGCTCGCTAGCTAGTCTGACGCAATGACAAATTCCAGGTTCAGTGAGAGACCCTGTCTCAAAAAGTAAGATGAAGGAGCTGGAGAGATGGTGCAGTGATTAAGAGCACTGGCTGTTCTTCAGAGGACCCAGGTTCACTTCTGGCCTCCATAGGCATACATGCAAGCAAAATGTATACACATAAAATAAAAATAAATGATTTTGTAAAAGTAAGGAGGTGATTATTTGACTGTACATATTAAGCTTTGTACATTTTACTATACATACATTAAATCTTATGAAATAAATTTTAAAATATTCTAGACATAGTGTACTTAGAAACATTTAAGGATATAAAATTTTCAGAGTTCAGTATTTCAATGGCATATTGCTCATTATACCTATGAAGACTTCTTAGGGGACTTCTTAGTCAAGATAATAGACTGGAAACTGTCTTCCAGTGACTCCATGGATGGGGAAAGTCAGGATAAGAAAGGAGAAACATTATTCCCGAGAGAGAGGGATGGAAAGAGCATCAAAAATCACAGACGTGACAAGACAGCTGAAAATGGAAAGGTTACACAACCAGAAAAGGAAGTACTCCATGAAGTACTCCATGGCTCCAGCCTCAGCTCCTTGGTTGGAAGGAATGCGGACTAAAATCTCGTCCACAAGGTATGCAAGGTGGCCCTGGTGAACAGAGATCAGAAGTCCTACCAGGAAAATCACACCATTTCACAACTTAAATCCAGCTGGAAGATTTGGTATGACACTGAAGCCTCCTGTGTAACAGGTTAGCACAGTGATGAGATGTCAGCAAAGAGATGTGGATAGTGAAATAATTTACCAAGGTAGAATGTGACAGAATCCTCAGATTTTATTGAGTGAAATATTCCACAATAGTTTTGTCTATTTGATCCAGAGAAAGGTATGATATCTTTGGATATGTTCCAAGGAAGAAGGGTTGATAACCCTGTTTCATAACCATTTAAAATTTAATGTTGAATTCTGGAAGAAATAAACTTTATTAACCATTGATAGAAGTAGGGAATGAAAATACTGAAATAAAGAATATTACTAGAAGAATAAGAAGGTTCTATCATGGCAAGGCTGTTAAAACACTGGATGAGAAAATGGCCATGGAGAAGAAAAGGCAGAGAAAGCAGGAAGAAAAAGTTGGACATGTCAGGAATGAGAGAAGGAAGGCAATAACCAACTATAGCACCATGGTGAGGAGAGACCATTGACCTCCATCAGCCAGGAGAGAATAAGGAGAGGAGACATATTTATATATAATCAATTAGTGTGTATTGGTTGCCTAGTGATGCCTTTGGGTCTTCTGTGGTATGAATTTGGAGAAGGAGATCAGGATATGGTTTGAAGACTGGAGTACATACAGGGACTATAGGTCAAGCATGAAGGTAACTATGGTAGACCCAGGTGTGATGGATTTTTTTCATATTAGTAGAGGAGCTACTAAACAGGGAATTGGATTTTTGTTTTCTCAGAATCAGACAAATCTGTTTTAATAGAAGAACAGAACATTTTTGAAGTTTTTATAACAATAAAGGAAGGCTTTTCCTTGTGAGGCATAGGTAAGAGTGAGCATAAGTAATGATAAGACATCCTCAAGTTGGACAAATTCAAAATCAGGAGCTACAGATCACTGGTGCATGTCCTGGAGAGCCTTCTGAAAAAAAATTACAGGCACTGTATTGTATATCTTTTTAATAGGGCTTTTGGGGAAAAGGTAGTGAACAGGTGAAACCAGGTTATAATGACCTGAGTTGGGACTGATGTTGAAGTTCATAACAAGACCTGATAGGGTACATTTTAAAGTATCTAAAGCTGAGCACCTGAATGGCTAACTTTGTAGGTCTTCAAGAGCATTTCATCCCCCTGTGAGCCAGGTCAAGATGAGCAACCTGGTCGGATCTGGGGTATTATTCTGTAGCACTGTTAATTGTTTTACTGGCTTTGGTTATATTTTTCTGTTGGGCATTAAGACACTCTAGGCTGCCAAAAATCAATCTGCTTTTTCTGTTAAAGTTAGTTGAAACTCTTGGGGGTCACTCTTAGAGACTTGATATCTTTAGATCTTGTTATCCTTTAATTTTTTCACAAATGTGTCATTTATTGGGATGATTCAGACTCTTCTTGACCATATGGTTTCTCTTGGAAATAGGGAGACTTTATTCTTCTAACGACTCTCCTGTTTGTAGACTGTGTGATGGTTAGAATCCAACCATGATCTCCTTATTCTCTATCTTTTCAAGAGGATAGGAGACTTAGCAGAGCAACAGGGAAATCTTTACTGTGGACTTGTCATTCGCTGGGTCCTGCACAAGTTTGAGGGTAAGGGATGAAACACTGGCAATACTATTATGTCTTTATTCTTTATTATTGCTATTACTCGGGGGTTTCACATACATATACACTGGAATATGATCATATTGACTTTGGCCACAAGTTTTGTTATTGAACATCCAGAAACACAGCTGTGCTATTTTTCTAAACAAAGTAATGGATTTTAGGTTCAACTTTTGTACACATATATAAAATTTACTAAAAAAAGATATTTTAGTAAGTCTTGATTTTGTTAATATCAAGTTGTGCAAGTAGTTAAAACCCTGACAAATTTAGCGGAAAATATAAGTAATCATCTTTAAAAGAAAGGCTTTTTTAAAGTTTATTATATTTAATGTTTGTGTGTGTATATCCATATGTGTCTATATGTGTGTGTGTGAACACCTGCATATGAGGGTAGGAGTACTGGAGCACGTGATTGCAATTGCATTGCATTTTCTTGACTAAGCTTGTGGCCAGCAAGTTGCTGAAATTCTCCATTCTCCAAACCCTTTATTTATTTTTTAAAAATATTTTATTTATTCTTTTTATTTTATGTGTCTGCATGTATTGCCTACATGTAGGTAAGTGCACCCATGTCATGCAAAGCCGATGGAAGACAGAAGAGCTTGTGGGATCCCCTGGAACTGGAATTATGGAGAGCTGTTAGATGCCATGTAGGTGCTGGAATTCAAATCCGGGTTTTCTGTAAGAACAACTAGTGTTCTTAACTGCTGAGCCATCTCTCCAGCCCCCATTCCCCCATAGCTGTATTACAGGCATTAGTGCACACCCAGATTGTTATATAAGTATTGTGATCCAAACAATCCCTCAGGGGTGCAGAGAAAGCATTATTGGCCATTGCACCATCTGTCCAGCATATAATTATCTTGAGGAACATAAAATAATACTTTTTAAGTAAAATTTTGTAAACGTTACAATGAACAGATCGGTATCTGAAATAGAAAGGTAAATCTTAGGTCTTGATAACACATCAAATTCCCTTATACCAATGCACTATCCACCCCTTGAAGACTATCATGGTTTAGTTGTTGACAAACATTCTACATTCTTGATGTACAAATATTGGATAGGCATGTCCTCCAAACGACCAACAACAGATGGATGTCTGAACCCTAAATGACTCAATAGAAAGGGAGGAAGACAGTCACCCTTCCCCCTGAATCAGTCAGCTTCATTGCATGAGGGGACGTGTCTAAGGATAGACATGGAAGAAGTCAGGGAGGAGGTGGGAACTTTGCCATCTTGGGCCAGGGCCTGTGGTGGCAGATCTGGAAGGCTCAGCTGAGGTGTAGGGAAAAAAGCCCATGGGTGTCCTTACGATTAAGTATTCCTCTTCATCGTCATAAGCTCTGTTGGCAAGCCCAAATAAATATTTTTATTCCCTAAATATTGGTTGGCGGGTCACAAGGGAGCCACGTGTACGACTCCCAGCAGCAAATTTGGCTTACAACAAATATTCACATTCAAGTTTACAATGTGCACCTATATTTTAAAATCATTCAATAATGTATGGGCATTATAATTGTACATACATATGTGCAGGCAAGCAAAATACTCATAAATATAAAATAAAAATAAATATTTTAAAAAAGATCCATACAAAACAGTTTAAACTGTCCAATTTTATTAATAATAATTAAAAATCTACCAAAATGGTTATAAGTAATAGAATCAGAGCAGTGTTTAGCTCTGGTGGAGGGTGGAACTGGCAACTTACTGGAAGGGACATGATAAAGCATCATAAGGAAACGTTCTGAGGTGATGGGAATATTTTATTCCTTAATCTGGGATTTGGTTGCATGAGTTATACACATATTAAAAGTTGTCAATGAGCTGTGTACTTCAAGTTTGTACATTCTTTTCTACATAAATGAATCTTCATGAAATAAATTTTTATGACTATTTGTATTTGGTGGTAACATTTATTTGTATAAAAATTTATAGAATTCAACATTTTGGGGTTTTTTAAATTTTTATTTTATTTATGTGGTTTGGATCTGGCTACATAGTTCAGACTGACTTGGAATTGAAATCCTCCTGTCTCAGCGTCCTAAGCTCTTGGACTAGTCTGGTTCCAACTAGAGATCGATATTCTTACCAGAATATTTTAATTGACATTTAAGTTTGTCTTATGGATAACATACATTTTTATTGCCCCACTCTGATCTCTGATAATGAGTTCTGCAGGCCCATCAATACCCTCACATGTCACCTGAGACAATTTGGGACTGAGTAAGAGTAGTTTTATACAAAATACAGCTTGGATGACCGTAAAGAATATACTGGTTTATAGTAAGGCTACATCTAAAATGTTGGAGAATGTCAACAAACTTGACACAGGCACAAAAAGAATTCTCAGATAGGGCAATCAGATACAGGTAAGGACATTCATTTCTTCCCAATGATACTTGTCCCATGAGTCCTTACAAATATTATAGGAAGTTTGTGTTTCTATCAGAAATCCTACAATTTATCAGACATCAGATATGATTCCTTTCTTTCCACATCCAATTTATATATGAATATAATGATTTAAATTAACAAGGGTAGTAAATGTGGTGGCTACCATGGCCCTGGAGAACAATATATACCCTCAACATAAACTCAGATAAGCAATGCATAACACATTTTCTCCTTTATCTGAAGACTCATGAGACAGAGAGCCTTAAAGAATAGTTGTTCATAAAAGACCTACACCCTTCCTCTTCTACGTGCCAGAAAAACAGACTGAGTTGTTCTCCATAATCACAGATTTTTGGTAGGGAACGGCCCCAGGGGGAACACATTTCGGTGGGCTCTAACATTAAGAAGAGACATTTAGGGAGCAACATCTCTCTATCACTTTTCTTCCAAATTGCTTACACTCTAACTCAGAGTTGACAACCCAAGCTTTAGAAAGAACTGACTGGACTCATGTAGAGATAAGGTATGTGTAATTTGTCATCAGGTTGTTGTAATGATTTCCTCTGTTTCTTTTAAACTAGCTAGGCATTATTTATCTCTCCTCTCTCTCTTTCTCACTGTCTAAGTGAGAGAAAAAGAATCATAAAATTGACCCATTCTTAAAAAAATATTGGAAAATTGAAACAAAGAGCAGTAAACCCAAGTTAAAACTAGCTTTAAAGAAATATGTGGAGCTGGAGATAGAGCTAAGAAGGTAAGAGTGCTTATTCTGCAAGCATGTTGACATAAAGTCAAATTCCCAGCACTCATGTAAAAAGCATGGCATGGCTGTGCATGCCTGCATCCCCTGCATTGTTGGACAGAGAAAAAATGATCCCTAGAGCTTGCTTTCGAACCAGTCTCGCTGAAAGGAAAAACTTCTGGCTGAGGAGATACCCTACTTCAACACAATAAGGCAGAAAGATACAGAAAGATACAACTCCTCCCATATCTGCCCATCACTTTTTTCTGACAGCTGACAACTCTCTTTCTTGCTTTTTTATGGGGCTTTTGGCTACTCTACCATTCCCCCCTCTGGAGAAGTAACCCTAAAATATTTTAGGGATTAGATAAAAGCTCCCAAATATGTTTGACATTTTTTGGCCTTTGGCAAAGTGTATGTTGCTAAGAGGCCCAAAGACATTTTGACTATTAGCAGAGAAACTGGCTACTTTTCTTGGGGTCTTTGAACCCTAAGTGCCTAGCCAATTTCTACCTTCTATTCTTATCACACCAGCCTCTGAAGAGGTTACCCAAATTGCCAATAGGGAATTGAGACACAGACCACTCTGGCTTCTTCCCTGCTGAACAGGGATGCAAGGTACATTCAATAATTTTAAATTAAGCTTAGGAGATCTAAAATTATTTAATTTATCATACACCTTTTATAACTCTATACATGAAAATAAGTGGCTTTGATTATAAGCATTATATAATCATGGCTTTATTTGAAAAATTCACCCAGTTATACTTACCATGCAGCTACTAGAATGTCAACCTATAAAATGAGCCTATTGAGTTTACAGAACTGAACCAGGATGTGGGTGATTCAGCCTTTACTTCCCTGTGTGACTGACTACGGTTCCGAACTGACAAAACACCTTATGTGCAGTGGCTGTGGCTGAGATAGTACAAAAATGCCATGCAGGTGTTCTCTCTTTATGAAAATGCATCTTACAGTAAAATTAAAAGTAATTAATACTTCCATTTACCCAAACATTATGATGAATATATATAACCAGTAGACATTCAGACTATTCAAAGAACGTGTTCCAAACATGCTATAACAGTGAGGTAAACATTAGAATAAATTTAGATTTAGAAATAGAAATACTTCACTCTATTAATAGCAGTAATTTAAAATACAAATTGAAGATCTTTATTGGCACCATTGTATTTTAATATTACTCTAAGAAGCCAATATTTAGAAACTTTAAAATCATAATATTGTCATGGAAATATAAAAGATACAGTATAAAGACAACCATTGTCCCTGATTAGGATACATACAATGCAGAGCATCTTCCTAGAACTCTTCAAAGGCAGTGTTGGATGATAGATAACTGGTTTTCTGTGTAACAAACACAATAAGAAAATTTTGTGGCATGCAATGTCTATAAGTTTTATTATGGATACTTATTTTAGTTATTCCAAATATGGCACAACATTTAATAGGTAAATAGACTATATAAATAATGACGTCTCAGTAAAAATGCTTAACTTAAAGTCATTACTCACCATCCCAGAAAAAAATCACTTATTAAAACATTGAGATCTTTACTGTTTGGCATATTTAAAAATCAAACTTCAAGGGATGGAAGAATATCTCAGTTGTAATGTACTTATTTAGCAT